TTTGACCAGCGGGTTCATTGAGGACGTTGGCAAAGTGGTCCTTTGAGAGGAGCGAATGAGTGGGGTCAGTGCAGTGGGGGTCGGTCCATGGCTCGTACTGATGCTTGCCACTGGCGTCAATGACGGTCGAAGAGCCCGCTTTCAGCTGCTTGGAAGCAGCATTGATGAGGGGCAAGACAATGGGTGCAAGTAGCGAAAAGACAAACTGTGTAACTTTCTCGCTAATCTTCTCGACCAGGCTTTCCAGACCGGGAATCTTGGAAATGGCGTTGCTAATTGAACGGACCACATTGTCCCGGAATTCGAGGATGGGGTAGATCTTGGGAACGACGCTTTGAGGGTCAAAGTTGGGATCCATTCCTGGGATTCCGGGGCCAGGGGGACCACCAACTGAGCCAGGAGGAGCGGCAAATTGGGGTGCCTGGGCGCGGGAACCGCTGTAGTTGTCCTGTCCGTATCCACGGGCAGCATTCTGGGCCGCCTGCGCATCCGAAGTAGCCTTCAATGTCTGAGCCTGCTGGCAAAGCGGCGAAGTACCGGGAATCTTGGAAAGCAAGCTGATTAGGCCATCGGCATCAGCACCAGAGGATCCATTTCCTGAGCGCTTGCCGCCAGTTGCGCCACCCGAGTTGTTCAGCTGCGATGTCAATTCGTCCATCTCTGAAGGTACGTCGACCTCGGACTGGGTGAAGTGGTCCGTAGCCTCACCAAGTACAGAGTGAAGAAAGTCGACAGCGCCAAATGTGCCGGTGACAAGGGGGAAGACGTGCTTGCCATGGATGTTCATTTGAGTGGCTGTACCAGTGTGGGGGAATACGTTGTGGAAGCCAAGCTCTCGCAGTGCAAGCTCTGTATAGTTGGTGTGGGCTCCGATATCCTCGAGTGTATGAAGACCTTGTCCCAGACAACGCAGAGCTTCACAAAGGTCTTCTTCGCGTCCCTTGGAGCCGCCAGTGCCGTGGGTGTACATGCGGCCATAGTGGATTGCTCGAGTAAAGCTGTGTTTGACGTAGCCCACACTCGTAGCCCATCCGCCATGTTCATTGGCGATGTAGTTCTTCATTCCTGCCACATGTCAGCGTTTCTGTAGGCACGTGCGTGGGGGCCATACCAGTGTTGGGGTCAATAGCCAACTCCTCCGGAGAGACGGGGCCGCGCAGGCGTGAGTCGTACTTCCGGGCATCTTCGTTGTCAGCGTAGTCCTGCTAAGAGCGTCAGTCGGCGCGTCATGAGACGAGGTAGGAGAACATGCCCTGGGGTTATCAATGTGCTCTTCAGGGCGGTAAACTGGATTGATGTCAGCGAGGGGTCGGTCAGCAATGGCGTGAGCAGAAAGTACCTCCGAGACGCTCATGAGTGACTTCAAATTCCTTGGTCGCATATCCAAAGGACATGAAGGCCAAGATCCACACTAGTATGCGAATCTAGACTGGTCAGTGCGTTGATGGAACAATTGGAGCAAAGCAAACGACATACAGTATCGGCCTGCACGCCTTTCAGAGTGCCAACGTCAACAGCTTGAGAATAGTCGCGGAGAAAGTTTCTATTTCTGTCAGAAGCGCGATCATGGGAAGACGGATACACAAGTCTCACCCAAAGTAGACGCGCTTGATCATCATCGAAGTCCATTTATGGCCTTTGAGACACGCGACCTTTTTGAGCATATCTTCAATGTCGCCATGACGCCAGTTGACTCCCTCGATAGAGGAGATGCTCGCAATGTTACCAGCACCAAACTGTAGCGAGGGGCGGGCCAGGCAGAATAGGACGATGAAGACAACGAAGAGACTGAGGTGAAGGCGCCGCATGATGGTTGGCCAGCCTTGTGGTGTGAAAATGGAGAGTGGAGCTCGGATGCGCGGATCACGACGGGAGCCGGAGCTTTAAAGAAGAAAGGTGTGTCTTCGGTTGAAAGGCGAGTTGAGTGTTGGTGAGGCAGGCGGCAAGCTGAAGCACCAGCCGGAGGTGGGAAGCGCACGGACCCATTGGAATGACGTTGCAGCTTGTGGCTCGGTAAAAGGCTGTGCACATGGAATTCTCAGCCACCTGAGTGCCATTCTTTTCCATCTTCCATTCAACGGAGGAACGTGTCCCTTGCTGACGACTTGACGCCATACTGAAGTCCCTTGAGATGAACGCCAAATGCAGCGGGGAATAAGAAGAATCTACCAAGGTCTTCCACTTCTCGATAGCCTCTGAAAAAGGTCACGATTCTGACATCTGCTTTGCGGCCCATTCTCGGTTTCTATTTCTGGCGTTATCCGTCTGTTTGCCTAACTGGATGCTGTTTACTGGCCAATGAGATGTCTTGCTTGCTTCGATATCTTGTCACCAGTCATGTGCCCTGAATCACAGCCGCACAGTGGATGGCGGCGGAAATGTCAACTCCAGGGAATAAGTTCGCGATCCAGAGGTCTACGGCATTATTATAGGCAAATTTGAACGAACAGGTTGCGCTCAAGTGCCTTCAGAAGTCTTGCGCATTTGAGTACGAAGTACAAGCATGGAAGCATCCACGGGTCGCTGTACCAAAGCGCATGCGAACGTTATGGTCACGTTTAACTGAACGAACAAATGAAGTAGAAAGTTTCATTCAACGTAAAGATAAACGTAAAGATAATATCAAACCAACCCTTCAACCTCACCCACTCCGAAAGACTCATCCCCGAACTCATCACTCAACCCAGGCCACCAGCGGGCGGGAATGGACCTTCGCAGACGTTGGTGACAGAAACAGGGATTGCATCCCTGGCAGCACAGTTCTTGGGCGGATACTGTTGCGAGCCAGCCTGCTGGTTGCCGCCGCCACGCGTCTTTGCATCACTGCCAGGCTGGCATGGGATGTCCTGGTTGATGTTGCCGTACGAATAGTAATCCACATTTGGGTCAGGGCAGATTGCGCAACTGTGACAACAATTAGTGTCAAGCTCCTGTTGAATGTGGAGAGAGTAGAACATACGCTCTCACAAATTGCCAGATGATGTCAATGGTGACGGACTGAGGACCACTCGCACGTGTCCAGTCATCGTCATCCGTCGAGTACTTGAACCGCGCAATTGCACCAGTATTGGCCCTCTTGCACTCTGTGTAGGTGTCCGTGTTTCCGATGGAAAGGTCGGCGTCACAGGTAGTGTCAATCCCCGTGTTGGTGTTCTTCAACGCAAAAGAGATGTGGAAGGCGTTCCGAGTGCCCTCGACCTTGAGGTTGGTAACAGTCGTGGGTCCAAGCTTATCCGACTTGGGCGTCTTTGCCGTTGTCTGACATTTGCCATTTTGTCTCTTGAAGAGACTCAATGCGCCGGCAGGATTGTGCGTGACGTCCCAGATGGGACTGGAGAGGGCGAGAGTGAAGAAGAGGAAGAGAGAGAGGATGTACATTTTGTCTTGGATCGGTCGCGACGGTGGAAGAATTTGAAAGAGTCGAAGCTAAATCCAAAATATGGAGAAGAGGAGAGAGTGTTTGTTGTTGCGACTGGATGGAACATCGGAGTGACGATGGCAGAGGAGTAAGTGGGAGACTTGCAGGTATATATACTTCATCAGCACACACACCTGCTCCTCTCCTGCACGCCATTTGAGCCTCAACCCTGGTAAGCATGAAAGAAGCTTCTGAGCGAGTGGAGTGACCGAAGCAGTGACCTTTTCCAAGTCGGCATCCATAGTATCCGCAAGGCTATGTTGAGCAATGGCCAACATTCGAGAAGAACGATAGAGTTCCGCACGTTCCGGCGCACCGGAGTGTCCGTGCTGTTCAGTCCTTCGAACTGTACCTGCTGGAGTTGGCAGAAGATTCCCCGTCTCGCTTTGTTCGACGATCCTGACATCAGACAAGCTCAAGCAGACACCTGACAGCTTTCCAAGAACAAGAGCTGCCAGAAACGCGCAAAGACTATCGTCTGGTTCAGTTTGTCGCAGTAGTGGTTTCCGTGATCGTTCGAAGCACTGTGCTGGGATCCGCTGTCTCTGTCCGTCTAAGTCATCATTTTGATCCCCGGAATCTAGTTTCGACGTGTTACTTAGGCGTGTTCCTGGACCGGCCACGACCCAGGGTCTCGCAGACAGACATGGATCTCATCGCCACTATTACAAAACTAGTAGAGGCGAACAATTCTACGTTTGTTCTCGAAGGACTCCCGCCTCCGCATTCACCAGGGTCTAGCGCCATTCTCTTCAACATGGATATGCACTCTGCCTGTTTCGATACTTGTGGCACTCGCTGCTGTGAGAGTCCGAAATACCGAGGCCACTTAGCGATGTACAAGAGGATCTCGTCTTCTGTTCATGGCCTTGTCGGACCAACACTCTGTAAAATATAAGGAGTCGGGCTTTCTTTTCCACATCTTTTTGGGGGACTCGGAATGCACTCGCGAAATCCGAAAGATCCTGGGGACACTGCCAAGTGCCCGAAAGCCTATTCAAATCGTCATTTCAGCAAGCAGGCATCACACTCCTCGGTCGCCCTAAGTTAAAGATCACCTATTCTGCAGACTCAACTGCTGCTCAGAGGCTTGGCCACAACCTAAATGTCACTCAGATCAGCCGCAGCTTGGACTCGACAGTGCGCACTTGGCGTCTTAGCCTGTTCAAGATCCAGAGGCCTCGCAAAAGGTTAAATGCTTACACTTATGGTTAAATGTCAGTTTCGACTGCAACACTAGTTGAGCAAAACAAATTAGCCGAATGCGACCGTCTGGAAACCTGACGCTGTAAGCCAATCTTATAGAAGAAAAGACATGACTTTTGGAAATTTTTGGCTAAAGTCATCCAACCAGAGCTTCAGACCTGGCGCCGCTTGCTGTGGGCTCGCTCACACCCATCTCCTGGCCCTCGCTCTCTGCGCGTTCTGGGTACTCTCACATCACCACGTCGGACAAAACAGAACTTTGACCATTGCAAAGTTGCTTTCCAGCCTGTAAGTGAAGCCAACTGCAACAAACAAAACGGTTTACGCCCAAGTTCTTTCGAGGTGGGCAAAAGAAAACACAAGTTCGCGAACAGGATGGTCACTACGAGGGTCGAACTCGCGACCTTGGCGTTACACAAACTCTCTGTGAGAGCTGCCATATTAGCACCACGCTCTAACCAACTGAGCTAAGCGACCTGTGCGAACTTGTTGAAAATAGATTTGCTAAGCCAGGCTATGTTTGTATGCAAGTTGTTGCTTTGTCCCCAGGAAGCGGAAAACTCAAAATTTCTGGAGGAATACGGTCGTTTTGGCGATAATCAAGAGGCGGAGAGGTCCGGAGGGAGTCAAGCCGAAGTTTTGACGATGTGGAGACAGGGAAACTCGAGTCTTCGCAGCGTTGACCAGGATCTCAAACGCTGCAGGTGGGTGCCACAAACGCATGAGCATCGGATCCGGGAGGAGTGGAGAAGAGAGAGGCCCCATCGAGATTCGAGATGTAGTAAACCGAGCGTCTTTTTAGTGAGGGACCGGGGAAACAAAGTTCCAGGCGATTGAAGCACTGAAAGACCGTCGCAACGAAGTACAGGGCCTCGTAAACTGACAAGAGACGCGGCAAGACGCGTTTTGATGCTCGAGGAAAACGACAGCGAAGGTTGCCGAAGCAAGCGCAAAGCGCAAGTAGGTGATTGGCAAGCTCCGTGGAACGTGGCAATGTCGTGGCAGTCCAATCAAGTCCTGTCGGTCGATCAAGTCGGTGTCGCGTCAAGCGTAGACGATGCTGGGCAGTATCAATGGTAATCGAGCAAAACCAGGAAGCCTTTTGATATGCGGTCTCGGGAACAACTTCGACACGTATCTGAAGAGCCGGCCGTCAATGTGCGGGCCATGTTGCCGTTGCGGAGCGTACAAGATCATGTGCAGAGTCCGTTGATCATGATCGCAAAGACATTTGGGGAGTTGGTGGAAAGGGATTGGGCGAACGATTGATGATGAGGAAGGGAAGTGCACGCGTCTGATAAACGTCAGGTCAGAAGTTCTGATGTCAAAGAGGTTCGGGTGACGTGGATGGTTGCTGAGGCAATGCCCCAGACTAGTTTCCCCGATAGCGTTGACGCGCTAACTTTATCTCAACGTGACGGCGTGAGTGACGCGGAAACCGCCAGCTACGCGTCGTCCTGGGACGAACACCAACATCCCCGATCCTCGCTTCAATGATCACCAATGCCGCGCGCGATTATTCAAGACTCGGATGATGATGGCGAATTCGGCTCTGTATCGCCCGTGTCAGAAAAGGCCAGAACTCCTCTGATCAGAGATGTGTCGTCGCGGAGCCAAAAGTCAGCACCTGGCGGCACGAGCTCGACAGGTATGCATAGTCGATTGACCCTTCTTGCCACTCGATTAAATCTGTTGCAGAAGCAATTCAGCGAGAGATCGCAGCCGCCCATCGCGAGGTCTTGGAGAAATCTGCTGCCGCAACCCATGTCTTCAACGGACATGACAGCTCTCCCCGAATCCATCGTAGAAACACAACATTGGAGACTGGCCATGGCCCATCGCCGACAAATCCCCGCCGCAGGAGTACAATGGTGACATATGGAAGCTCAAGTCGACGAGGCCAGGGCACATTTGAAGATGAAGCGTTTGACTTCATGAAAGAGCCAAAGGTTGGCCGCGACGCCCAATTCGGCTCCTCGCCTGGCGACGTAGAGTTTGTTGTCCCTCGAGGACCAATTCAAAGGTCCTTTGAGCGTAACGAGGAGCAAAATTTGATTGGTGGGTCTCTGCAGCCAGACTTCGCCGGCCACGAACCACGAATGTTTGGCACGTCCGACACTGTCCCGGATGGAACAATGGATCAGCAGCGCCTTCTTGATGCTGCCATGGCTGACTTTGCCAACACTCACGGTCCTGCGCACACGGAATTATCAGGGGTACGGGTACGCGAAAAAAGCCTTGGAGAAGATCCTTCGCCGCCGTGGTCGGATTATCTGCACAGCCCTGAGGTACCACAGCAGATGTCCTCCTCGGCAAGCACGAAGAAAAGACGATCATCCGTCGCCGTTACTGGCTCTCAATCGTCCATGCCTTCTGCCAAGAGACATCGGCCCCAACTGGTAGACGACAAGGACGAGCTGGCTAATTTGGATGACCCTTTTGTGACGAATACGCAAAAGGTCGTTTATTCCATAAAAGATTCGATTCATGCTGTGAGAGCTTCAAGGGCCGCAAAAGAGGCAAAAGCCCAACAGGACACCAGCAGCGAACCTCTTAACGGTGAAGATGTCCTCATTGGTCTCCCGAAAGAGAGGTACCAACCACGCCCTAGCCGGTCTCGCTCCAGTCGCTTGTCCATTGAGGAACCGATCGACTACTCTGCCAATCCCGACAAGGCATCCAAGAAGAAAGCCAAACGGAGAAAGACCGAGGACTCCGCAACAATCGGCCGTGTGAAGCTGTCTGCATCAGAGAGGCGCGAGCGAATGATTGGAATAGAATTCAGTCCGACGTCATCCAAGAGGGCCTTGAAGGAGTGCAAAGACGATTTGGACGAGGCCGTGGAAGCTCTGAGCAACGCGGACCACAAGGAGCCTTCAAGAGTCGAAAATGCCGACCAGTTTGACGTGGTCGCCAACCACCGTGCAGATGTGCAAGCCGTTCAAGATTCGAAATCGACTATTCCTCGCACTCAAGGGAGCCCCATAGTGCTCATCGAAAAGACAGTCAACTCAGGCACCGACAGTCGAAACTCCAACAAGAGCCAACCCAAGAAAAAGAGAGGAAGACCGCCCAAAGTCCGACCTCTGGAAGAAAAGACCGAAGTACTCGCAGATGTCACATACGAAGCGAGGGCATCGCATGACGAGGCCAAGACTGAGGATCATATAAAGAACACGATTCTGGAAATTGAGGAGCATCAGCAAAGCGTGAGCTCGCTTGAGCGACGAGTATCTCCTACGGTGAATCCTACGCCACCGAGTTCTGCACAGCCGAACAAGCTAGAGGAGCGGGCCGCAGAGATCCCTGAAGCGCAAGTACCCCTGCCGAAGAAACGAGGTCGTGGACGGCCGCGGAAGCAAAAGTCACCCGAGCCCACCACACCAAACAGGCACGAGGCTACGGAGAGTGACATGCAGGCAACACGAGGGGGAGAAATGCCACAGGCTCCAAATTCGGAAGAACCTGAAAAACAAACACCAGGACGGGGTTCAATACGAGAGGCGCCCGTCAGCACGCCACACAATGTGACGTCCTCTCAAACCAGGTCTGAACTGCAGCCTTCGACTGCCAACGCATTGGAGACGCCGGAAAAGGCACCTGCCAAGGCCGCAAGTCGCTCGTCAGCAAGCACAAGCAAAGTTTCTTACAGAGTGGGACTCAGCAGGAGAGCGAGGATTGCACCGCTCTTGAAAATTGTGAAAAAATGAGGGGTGCAGTATGCAGGTGGTGCGGCCAGGACTTGTTTGCAAGGGGGCCAAAAGACGGCGTGTCACACCACTGTCCTCGGCAAGGTGCGTTTGTGCTGTATTGCGTCGATTCTGAGCTTTGATTTTGTCGGGTACAAGCAGATTTTGAGAATAGCATTGCTTGGCTGCTTGGGATGGTGGTGGGGAGGATTTGCATTTACGAGTTGACTATACCCAAATGGCTAGCGAAATGGGGAGATCCCCCACATGTCGCTTGCTTTTGTTTTATGTTTCTGGGCGGGAATAGCGAGCATCTCCGATACATGTTTTCCAAGAAAGGCCTATTCTGCACTACTGAATCACACGCGAGCGGGAGACTGCCGAACGCCATTGTATGACAGGGGCGCACGAAAATAGAGAGAGGTTTCATGGCCCTGGATGAGAGGCGGACAGGGAGAGGTCAGGCTTGAAGAGGGAGTCAAGAGGGGAAGACGAGCAGTATGCTACCAACCAACAACCAACTTCAGGTGGACATGTCTTGAAGACGGCGGCTGCTCGTGCTACGGCTTCACTTTGCGCCGAAGCTGAGACAGGCTTCCACGAGGCTCCCGTCGGGAACAGCGTGACGACATGAATATGCCGACAGCCGGAAAATAGTTGGTGTTGGCAGGCCTAAAATGTCGACGAGTATGCCATGGTTTCACCAGGGGAAAAGGAAATTTGACGACGACTGACGGCCAGCGATGGGCGTTGAAGAGAGGATTCGGGATCGACGAAGCCAGTGAGAAGCGAGTAGGGGGACAGTGGGTGGCACGGCAGAGAGAGGAGTGTCGAGATTTGGGGGGCGTGCCTGGACTCGGGTAGTGAGTGGGTTGGTTCTTGGGACGGGCAAAAATAGCCGCTAACCAAGGCACCCAAGGGTCCATCCGCCATCTGCACCCACGTCCGTCTAGACATCCAAAATTTCCACTCGCAAACGCCGCTCACGGCCGTCATCCTTCTCATGGTTCCAAAAGCACTAGTGAGCGTGCAGTCGAGGCGCCCCGGCTCTGCTCTGTCTCTCTCCCGCCCGTCGCCCCTCGCCTCGTCCTCATCCAATGTCCCCGGACGTGCGTGCATCGCGTCGTATATGCGCCCGACCACAGAGCTCCTCCACAACCGCCACTGTGGACAATGAATGACAGATGACTGACTGATCTTGCGAGGAGCACTGTATGGTGCTGCCGCTTTTGGTCCAAGAGCCGCGCTTCCACATGTTGGGTCAGAGGCCCGCGTAGCGTCAAGCCCAGCAGCCCAGCCTACGGGTCCTCTGCTCTTCGGTACGGGCGCCGTCTGGGCCACTGGCTATAGGGAAGACCTACACCACTCCACATGGGGAGCCATGTGGCTTGTTTGGACCCCCTGCCCATATCCTCTTCCGGCGCCATCGACCGCCGCCTTGCTGTCACTCTCTTTCTGCAAACACCCATACGGTATTTATCCTCCCGTCACTCGCTCCGTTTGTCTTGCTCTCCTTCTTCACGACTCACCAAGGTGTCCTTCTTTTCGTGTGCCTTTCGAGCCCCATCCTCTCGTTGAAGTCGTGCCGCAGTCTTTGCACGTCGTCGACCGGTGACACTCTTTTCACCCACTCCCTCCCAGCACCCACCCTTTGCCGCCTCTTCTCTACGTCACCATTTAGGTGTCATTCTCCAACATGCACGTCACTTCTGTTGTTGCAACCTCCGTCCTGGCCGGCGTGGCCTCGGCCCACGGCGGCATCCCTGGAGCTCCCAAGCTCTTTGGTCG